GGCGCCCGCGCGGGGCGGCGGCCGCGCGGCGGCCGCGCTCGCGGCGGGCGCCGCGAACGGCGGCGCGGCCGCGCGGCTCCGCTGGGTGCCGTCGCTGCTGCTCCAGTCCTTCGGGGCCGCCTGCAACCGCGGCGACGTGAGCGACCGCGCGCGCCTGCTCGTCGACGAGCACCTCTTCGACCGCGACGCGAACGCCGAGGAGCGCGCGGCGCACGTCTTAGGCGCGGTGCTCCCGTCGCTCCGCGACGCGCCGGGCGCCGCGGACGCCTTCGGGGCGCTGCTGGCGTCGTCGGCGCGCCACCGCGGCGAGCTCGAAACCTACCTCGACGCGCGCGAGGCCGCGCGGGCCGCGGCCGCGGGCGCGCGGCCGTCGTCCGTCGCCGGCTCGCGCGACACGGCCGCGGCGGACCCGAGCGCCGCCGCCGACGCGGCGCTCGAGGCGTGCCACGCGCGCCTCGCGGCGCTCTGCCCGACGCCCGACGGCAAGACGTCGCTGCTCCGCGAGCTCTCGAACGTCCGCGACAAGCGCGTCTTCAAGGCGCTCCGCGTCGTCTGCGACGGATCCGCGGACCTCGCGAAGCGCCGCGAGAAGCGCGCCGACGCCGTCGCGCGCATCAACGCGTTGGGCCCGAAGCACCGGGAGCTCGGCAAGTACGTGGCCAAGCTGGGGAAGCGCGCGGCCGACGCCGTCGTCGACGCGGGCGCGCTCGCCGCGGCGCTCGCGCTCGCCGCGGAGCGCCTCCGCGACGGCGCCGACGGCGATGTGGTCGTGGACGGCGCGGCGGCGCTGGCGGCCCTGGTCGCGGCGCACCACCCGAAGCTCCTCGCCGCGGAGGCCGCGTCGCGCGCGCTCGCGGCGTACGTCGCCGCCGCCGCGGAGTCGCGCGACGCGGCGTCGTTCGTCGCCGGCGCCAAGGCCATCGCGACGCTCGCGGCGACGGAGGACACGGGCGCCCTGGCGACGTCCCTGGGGCCGACCCTGGCGCGGGTCGCGGCCGCGGCGCGGTCCGACCTCCGCTTCGACGACGACGGCGACGACGACGGCGACGGCTTCTTCGCGGAGTGCGCCAAGGAGGCCGTGTCGGCGCTGCGGGCGTTGGACGGCGACGGGCGGGGCGACGCGGTGCTGCGGGATCTGGACGGCGACGACTGGGACTACGAGGCGCCGCGACTCGTCGCGCGGCTCCGCGCGCTCGGCCGCTGCGCCGCGGCGTTCCCCCGCGCGGTCGCCGCGAGCGACGTCGTCGACCGCGCGGCGGCGGAGCTCATCGAGAGCCGGCCGCCGGCGGACCTGGCCTTCGCCGGCGGGCCGAAGAAGGGCCGGAAGAAGCAGGTCTTCGACGACTCGGACGACGACTCGGACGACGGCGACAGCCCCCGGAAGCGGAAGCGCCGGAGCGTGCTGCTCGCGAGCGACTTCGGCGCGCCGGCGCCGGGCTGCGCCTTCGCGCCGGCGTTCCTCGCGCTGCGCGCGGCGTTGAAGGCCGTGGCCTACCGCGCGGCGGCCGCGCCCGCGGGCGCCGCGGGCGACGGCCGGCGCGCGGCGGCGCTGGACCTGCTCTTCGGCGTGCTCGCGTCCAAGGGCGCGCCGCCGAGCGGCGCGACGGCGTCGCCCGGCGAGCGCGCGGAGCTCCGGCTCACGGCCGCGTCCGCGGCGTTGAAGCTCGCGCTCGCGCCGGCGGCGGCGCCGCTCGTCGGCGCGGGCCGCTGGCGGTCCCTGAGCGCCGTCTGCCTCGACGCCGAGCCCGTCGTGCGGTCCAACTTCACGCGGAAGCTCGCGCGCGCCGTGCTCCGCGGCGACGCGCCCGTGGCCAAGTGGGGCGGCGCGCTCTGCCTCGCGGCGCTGCCGTCCGTCGACGAAATCGGCGCGCGCCGCGGCGGCGGCGCGGCCGCGCGCAAGGAGGCGCTCGCGTCGTCGAAGCAGCTCGCGGCGCGGGCTTTGGGCGTCGCCGTCGCGCGCGCGCGGCGCGCGCACGGCGCGGCCGCCGCGCGCCTGCCCGCGGGCGCGGCGGCCGCGGACCGCGACGCGCTCGCGCGGCGCCACCTGCCCGAGTACGCCCTCTTCTACGCCGTGCACCTCCTCGCGAAGCGGCCCATGGACGGGGCTTCCGAGGGCGACGAGGCGCGCGCGAAGGCGCTGCTCGACGACAAGCCGACGATGCGCGCGCTGCTCTTCGTCCTCGATCCCCTCGTCGCGTCGCTCGGCGCGGACGCAGACAACGTCGCCTTCCTCCTGAGCTGCTGCAACGAGATGGCGGCCCACGACGACGCCGAAGACGACGACATGACGCTGAGCGTCCGCGCGGTCGCGGCGCACGCGGGCGAGCTCGTCAAGCGCCAGTACGTCAAGACCGTCGACAACCTGCGGCCCTTCCCGGGCGTCGTCTACCTGCCGACGGCGCTCTACGCGCCGCCGAAGGCGGGCCGCGGCGACGCCGTCGCGCTCCGGCGCAAGATCCAGGAGCGCGCGCACGACTCCGTCGCGGGCCTCGAGGGCGCGCCGTCCGCGCGGAAGCGCAAGCCCGCGGCCGCGGCCAAGCGGGGCGACGGCGGCAAGAAGCCCCGCGCGTCGCCGAAGAAGCGCGCGACCGACGCCGACGACAGCGACGACGAGGTCATCCGGCCGACGACGGCCAAGGACCGGCGGTCGCGCGGCGCGCGCGAGTCCGAGGACGACGTCCGCGCGGCCGCCGCGCGCGGCGGCGTCGCCGTCCTCGAGCCCCGCGAGGACAACTCCGCGGCGTCGCCGCCGCCGTCGCCGTCGCCCGCCAAGAAGAAGAAGCCCGCGACCAAGAAGCCCGCGGCCAAGAAGCGCGGCCGCGCGTGATCGAGAGGACTCCGTTGTGCCCCCCGTCCCCCCTTGTGACTAAGCCGAGTTCTCCCTGTGTGTTGCGCCCCGGATGTCTCGATGCTCGTTACGACCCCGAGCCCCGCGCGGCCTCGGCGAGGATGGCGTCGCGCTCGCGCGCGAAGTCGTCGTCCGGCGGGACGTAGTTCCCGACGAAGCCGCCCGCGCCCGGCGAGTAGCCGGCGCCGCCGCCGAGCAGCGTGCAGTAGTCGGCCGCGCACCAGCTCTCGAGCATGGCGGTCCGCGTCGACTCGTCCGGCGGGTTCGCGATCAGGGCGATGAGCGGCGCCTGCGTCGCCGCGCCGACGCCGAGCGGGACGAGCAGGCCCAGGAGCGATCTCCGGTCCGTAGACGCCGGTTCTTGCTTCGAGGCGTGTCTTTGTCTTGCGGTGACGGCAGCGTGCCTTTGTTTCGCGGTGAAGGCATGCGTCGCTGCGAGCAGCGCGGTGAGTAGGACGGCTCGCGGCGACGGCATTGCTGTGTTCTAGCTGTGTCGCTGGCGTCGACGCGCTGCTACGGGTCGCCACGCGCTGGTGTCGGCGCTGGAAAGGGCTCAAGACGGCCACATCAGACAGGCGAAGGCTGCAAGTTGCGGATGTTTACCTCCGAGCAGCCCACGTTGACGCCGTGACATCGTCGAACTTCTTCCGCGCTGCCGTGCTGGAAGGCGCAGCGCCCCGACCGCGCATGTCGGCGCGCTGACCCGCCCAACGCCGCCAGCCATGATGCGCCGCCGCGCCCACCGCGCGCTCCACGAGCCGCAGCTCGCGCTCCAGCTCATCACCTTCCTCTGCTGGGGCCACTGGTCCGTCGTGCGCCGCGTGTCCCGCTGGTCCACGGAGCGGTTCATGGTCCTGGCCATCTACGTCCAGTGCGTCGTGGCGCTCGGCCTCATGGGCGTCGTCGACGGCGCGGGCGTCGCCGCGGCGCCCGACGCCCTGGGGACGTTCGCGGGGCGGCTCGCGCTGCTCGCGGGCGCGTGCATGGCCGTCGGCGACGGCTGCATCACGGTCATGACGGACCGGCTCGGGGTCGGCGTCGCCGCGCCCGTCATCTTCACGACGAACATCGTCTTCGGCGCCACGCTGGACTTTCTCGTCGCCGAGGGCGAACCGGGCGAGTGCCGCGTCGCGTACTTCGGACTGGGCCTCGCGTGCGCCGTCGCGGGCATCGTCGCGAACGTGCTGTCGACGCCGCGGCCCGAGGACGGCCTCGCGGCGCGGCGGCGCGGCTGGCGCTTCGCGGCGCCCCTCGCCGACTGCGAGGCCGCGGACGCGGCGGACGCGATCACGGCGACGGCCGCGGCGTTCGCGGCCAAGGCGACGGCCGCGACGCCGCTCCTGCCGCCGCCGCCGCCGCCGCCCAAGGCCCCGCCGTCGCCGGAGCAGGAGCTGCGGAGCGCCGCCGCCAGCCTCGGTTTTTGCGTGGCCGTGGGCCTCTTCTCCGGGGGGTGGAGCCCGCTGCTCGCCTACGCGGAGACGGCGCGCGGCGGCGCGCCCGCGGGCGCGCTCCACGCCTGCACGCAGGTCGGCGTCTTCCTGGCCGTGACGGCCGTCGCCGCGGGTCGCGCCGCGGCGGGCGCGCGGAGCCGGCGCCCGCCGGACGACTTCGACGACGACGGCGCGCGCTGCGCCGCGCTCCGCGACCACGCGGCCGTGCCCGCGCTCACGGGCGCGCTCCTCGCCGTGGGCTACACGACCTACTTCGCCGAGACGGCCGCGAGCGCGTCGACGGCCGCGTCCTACGCGCTCGGCTCCTGCTCGTCCTGCGTGCCCATGTTCTACTCCTACTTCGTCATCCGCGAGTACGTCGACGCGCCGCCGCGGAAGCACCGCCTCTTCGCCGCGGCCGCGCTCCTCTACGCGCTCGCGGTCCTCTTCCTCGCGCTCTCCGACTCGGGCATGTGCGAGCCGGACCGCGCGCCGATCCGCGCCGTCGACCGGCCGCCGGGCTTCGCGGCGCGGTTCCCCGACCGCCGCCGGCCGCAGGCGGACCGCTGGGCGCCGTAAGATTGCTGTGTGTGTTTTCGGACTGCGCTGCCGATTCGTGGCTGCTCTACTTTGTAGAGCTCAATGTTGCCTGGGGGCTCCTTGAAGCCTGCCTTGAAGGGCAAGCAACGATAGTGAAGCTCTCCCCGCGCCGCAGGCTGTGAAGCAGCTCTCGATCGACGCGTCGTCGCGCCGCCGCACGGCTGCAGCCGCTGCAACGGAACCACATGGGCGTGCCGAGCACCGCGGCGCTCTGCGCCGTCGTCGCGTACGTCGTGTATCCGCTGACGCAGCGCATGCCGCCGCCCTACGACGGCGTCGCGGCGTCCGCCGTGTCCGCGGCGGACCTGGACCTCTATCCGGGCCAGCCCGGCGGCACGCCCATCCCGCCGGTGCTCGAGGGCGCCTGGGCGCCGAACGACCGCTTGCGGGCGGCGACGCGGCTCTTCGAGGGTATTGTGGCGGGAAGCGAGAGCGTCGCGACGCTCGACGGCGGCGACCTGCTGCTCGTCGATAAATTCGGCTGGGTCTGGATCAGCGCCGGCGGCACGGCGACGCCCACGAGGACCTGGTACGTCGGCCCGGGCCGGCCGCTGGGGTTCCACGCGCATCGCGGGAAGTTGCTCGTCGCGTGCAGCACCAAGGGCCTCCTCGAGCTCGACCTCGAGAGCGGCGCCCTGAGGATCCTCGCGAACGTGGCCACGGACACGCGCGAGCCGCTGAACTACGTCAACGACCTCGCCGTCGACGGCGCGACGGGCGACGTCTACTTTTCGTCGTCGACGGAGCTCGGCGTGCGCCGCGACGGGCGGAGCGGGAAAAGAGTGATTCAACGTCGCTTCAACGTGAGGGTTCCGCGCGCGATTGTTCCAGAGCAAGGATCCACGCTTCGAGAGCGCTTCGAGAGATATTTGCCGAAACGAGTGGATAATGACCGAGATAGGAGCCTTTGGGAATTTTGCACTCGTTTCCTGCCCAGGCGACGGAACCCGCGGCTTCTACGACACGATGCAGGGCTACCTCATGAACCTGATGCGCGGCGACCACAGCGGGCGGCTGCTCAAGTACGACGCGCGGACGGGCGCGACGACGACGCTCGCGGCCGGCCTCGCGTACGCGAACGGCGTCGCGCTGTCGCCCGACGCGTCCTTCGCCGTCGTCGCCGAGACGAACCGCGCGCGGCTGATGCGGGTGGACCTGGCGACGGGGGAAATGTCCGTCTTCGTCGACGGGCTGCCCGCGCTGCCGGACGGCGTCACGGCCGCGGCGGACGGCTTCTGGATCGCGGGCATCGCGCGGCCGGCGCCCGTCGCCGCGAAGCTCGCGCCCTACCCGGCGCTGCGGACGCTGGCGGCCCACGTCGCGCCTTACGTCTTCCCCGTCTTCGCGAAGCCCTGGGCCGGCGCGCTGAAGGTCGGCTTCGACGGCGCGCCGCTGGACGCGCTCTACGACCCGACGGGCGAGCGCGTCTCGACGATGTCCTGCGTCGTCCAGCACGGCGCGCGGCTCTACCTCGGCAACCTCGCCGGGGACTTCGTCAGCGTCGTGGACCTGGGGTCTTGAGCGGCGTGGTAGGTATCATAGTAACTTTCGTTACCGTATCAGGACGCGCGTATCCGTGAATCGCGAACACGTAAGCCAATCCCCTGCAGCGAAGCCTCAACACGAGCGTCTGTCGCCGGGGATCAGCCCGTCCGCGAGCGACAGCTCGGACAGCCGATGGCGTCTCTGCTCCTTTGAGGAGCCCCTAGTCTATGACGGCCGGGTGGTAATCGCCCCTCCGGCCTGAGACAACCCCCGGGACTCTCGTGCCCTTCCCCCACCTAGAAGCGCCGCGGGGAAACTCGCGCTCCGCGGCCTTCAATTTCGATTCTCAGCTGACGGGCGGTGAACCCCTCCGGAAAAAATACCGGGCGCCCCCTCTCTGACCACAAGACCACCTCCGTCCGGCTCACCATGGGCAAGGTTTGGCCCCGTGTCGATTTCAGCCCCCGATTCGCCCATCCCGCCGCGCGGCGATTCGATTCTTTCGAAAGCGCGTTCCGCCCGCTTTCTTCGGCGCGCCCCCCGCCGACCCCGCCGCCCCCCGCCGCAGGACATCAAGAACCTCGTCCGGAACGAGGAGGCCGAGCTCTGGCGCGAGGCGCTGAAGATGGTGCTCGCGAAGAAGAAGGCGTTCTACTTCCGGAAGCCCGTCGACTTTGTGGCGCTCAACATCCCGCACTACCCGACGATCGTGGCCAAGCCCATGGACCTGGGCACCATCGAGTCGAAGCTCGGGCGCAACATGTACAAGACGCGCGACGAGTTCGCGGCCGACGTGCGCCTCGTCTTCTCGAACGCCGTGCTCTTCAACAAGGTCGAGACGCACCAGGTCCACGTCGCCGCGGTGCAGCTCCGCGCCTTCTTCGAGGACCGCTTCAAGGAGCTGGAGAGCGGCACCTTCCGGCGGCGCGACGAGTGCGTCGGCGCGAAGAAGGCCAACGGCCAGAGCTCCGGCGGCACGCGGTCCGCGACGCGGTCCGCGGCCAAGCCCGCCGAGCCCGAGAAGCGCGCGACGCGCGGCAAGCCCGCGGCGAAGAAGGGCGGCAAGCCGGCGGCCAAGGGCGGCACGGGCGAGCGCGCGAAAGCCGCGCCGAACCCCCGCGCGCCGCCGACGACGCCGCGCGACGGCCTCGTGCCCGCGGCCGAGGTGTTGAAGATGCAGGAGCAGCTCCTCAAGCTCCAGTCCGAGATGGCGGCGCTCAAGCGCCAGGTCGGCGCCGACGCGCCGTCGTCCGAGTCGTCGTCGGCCGCGGCGAGCGACGACGACGACGACGAGGCCATGCCGCCGCCGCCCGCGCCGGACGCCGACGGCGCGCGGCCGCCCCGGAAGCCGCTCGCCAAGCTCCGCTTCGTCGTGCCCCGCCGCGGCGCGACGCCCGCGGCGCGCACGGTCGGCGTCGCCCACTCGCCGTCGAGCGACAGCCTCCCCACGGAGTGCGTGAGCCTCAACGGCTCGAGCCCGCCGAGCCCGACGCCGAGCGGCCTCTTCGGCGACGACGCCGACCCCGACGCGTCGCTCGACGGCTCGGGCGCGGGCGACGACGGCCTCAGCCCCGAGGACTGCAGCGCCTACGCGTCGGCCATCGTCGAGATGACCGACGACGACGAGATCGCCGCGCTCGGCGGCGGCGCGAGCCCGCAGGCGCGCGGCAAGCGGCGGCTCGACGGCGCGACGCCGCCGGGCCCGAAGAAGCACCGCTTCACCATGTCGCCGGCGGACCTGAGCCCCGTGCCGGGCATGGAGGTCGCCAAGCTCTTCCGCGCGGGCTCGGACTTCGGCTCCGTGCTCTCGGACTCGGGCCTGGACCTCGAGGCGGGCACGTCGCCGCTCTGGACCTTCGACGAGAACCCGCCCGCGCCCATCGCGCCCATCCCCGAGGAGACGGCCGCCGAGTAGCTCGGCGCGCTCCACACGACAAACACAAAAAAATAGGCCGGCGCCGCGCGTGTTACGCTGCCGCGCCGCCGCGCCGCCGCGCGCCATTGCCCGCGCGGCGAGACCCACCTACCTACGCGACCACGACCACGAGACTTCCCCGAACCCAGAGGCACCAAGATGCCAGCGCGCCCGACCCGAGGCAGCCGCACCGCACTCACACCAACAAAAGAAAAAAGACCCCGACGAAAAACGAACACGGCGCGCGCGAACAAGGCGCGCGCCGCATCTCCGCGGGCCCGGCGCTCGGGCTCCGCCAGACACCACCACCGACTCCCATCCAAAACCAAACGAAACATGTGACTGTAACCTGAATTCAGAGAAACTCTAGTTCGATCTGGACGGGCTTATTCTTGGGAGGCCTCGTTGACGGCAACGAGCGGCTGCGCCACAAGCTCTCGCAGCCTCTGGTGCCGCAGCCTCGGCACAGCGCGACGCAGCCAGCCCTCGCAGCCGCGCTCGCAATCCGCGCCGCCGGGAGTCATGGCCGCCCTCGCCGCCGGCAACGCCGGCGAGCACATCGGCGAGATCAAGGCCCTGCGGCGCGAGCACAAGTCGGCCGGCACGCTCGAGTTCCTGGGCCCGAAGGTCAGCGAGGCGACGGCCGAGAACCCGACGCGCTTCAAGATCGCGCGCGCGACGCCCGCGAAGCTGGCCGTGCTCGTCGAGCTGCCGCCGTCGTACCCGTCCGACGCGCCGCCGAAGTTCTCCGTCGTCGACAGCGAGCTCGACGCGCCGCGGAACGACGCCATCGCCGAGCTCCTCGCGGAGCAGGCGGGCTACATGCGCGGCATGACCTGCGTGTCGACGGTGCTCCTCGCGCTCGACGACCTCGACCTCGACGACCTCGACCTCGGCGAGCCCGGCCGCTGCCGGTCGATCTTCACCGTGGACGTCGTGAACAACTCGCCGGTCTTCAGGAAGGCGCTCGAGGGCGCCGCCGTCGGGCACCCCTGCGCCTATTTCTACCGCACCATCGCCTGCCAGAACAACGCGAAGTTCTCCTTCGCGGTCGACCCGCTCCGGTCCGTCTTCGTCGTCTCCGACGCGCCGGACAAGAAGGCCGCGGTCGCCTTCATGAAGACGATCCGCACGGACGGCGCGATGGACATGGACATGCTCGGCAAGCCGGGCAAGATCCAGATGAGCGTCGTCGAGGAGTTCGAGCTCGCGCCCAAGGCGCCGGCCGCCTGCGGCGGCTTCGCCGGGACCGAGTACCGCACGGACGCGGAGCGCGCGGAGCTCATGGGGCCCTTGATGGCGGAGGCGGCGGCGGTTAAGAAGTAGACACGTGGCTTCCTCTCGATGCTGTCGTCGGCAGCGGCCCGGGCCTGGCAGCGGCGCGCGGCGAGGCGTGTGGCGGCGGCGCGCTCACCCGCCACACGCTCTTGTTGAATCTCGTCCTCGACGCACCTACTCGGCGTTCCTGGCCGCCGCCGTCCGCCTCTCCTTCGCGCTGCAGCCGCCGCATCGCTGCGAACCGCTCAAAGAAACGATGTCGGCGCAGGCGGCGGCGGCCGCCTGCCCCGAGGGCCGGGCCATCGTCGTGACGGGCGCCGCGGGCTTCATCGGGTCCCACACCTGCGAGTTCCTGCTGAACCGGGGCGAGCACGTCGTGGGCATCGACGAGGTCAACGACTACTACGACGTGCGCGTCAAGGAGTCGAATGTCGCGCTCCTCGAGCGCGTCGGCGGCGACCGGTTCACGTTCTACCGCGGCGACATCTGCGACGTCGCGCTGCTCGACCGCGTCTGGACGGGCCACGGCAAGCCGCGGCGCGTCGTCCACATGGCGGCGCGGGCCGGCGTGCGGCCGTCCATCGAGGACCCCTTCGTCTACGTGCACAGCAACGTCGAGGGCACGACGCGGCTGATGGACGTCGCGTGCAAGTACGGCAACGACAGCTTCGTCTTCGCGTCGTCGTCGTCGGTCTACGGCGGCTCCAAGGAGACGCTCTTCAGCGAGAAGGACTCGGTGGACTTCCCCGTGTCGCCCTACGCGGCGACGAAGAAGGCGTGCGAGCTCCTCGCGTACACGTACCACCACCTCTACAAGCTCAACATCGCCGCGCTGCGCTTCTTCACGGTCTTCGGCCCGCGGGGCCGGCCGGACATGGCGCCCCTCAAGTTCGTCGACAAGATCTCGCGCGGCGCGCCCATCCAGCAGTTCGGCGACGGCTCGAGCAGCCGCGACTACACGTACGTCGACGACGTCGTCCAGGGCATCGTGCTGTCCCTGGACACGCCCCTGGGCTACCAGGTCTACAACCTGGGCAACGGGTCGCCCACGAAGCTCGGCGACTTCATCGCCCTCGTCGAGGAGGCGACGGGCAGGAAGGCGGAGATAGAGATATTGCCGGAGCAGCCCGGCGACGTGCCGCGGACCTGCGCGGACATCTCGAAGGCTCGCGAGCTCCTGGGCTACGACCCGAAGACGCCCTTCCCCGAGGGCATCCGGAAGCTCGTCGCGTGGTACAACGAGACGCACCCCGAGGTCGGCCAGACGCCCGAGTGCGTCGAGCGCGCGGCGATGGAGCGGCGCCTGCGCGAGTCCGCGGCGCGCAAGGCCTTCGCCGTCGACGAGGAGCTGCTCCTCACGTTCCGCGCCGCCCAGGCGTCGCGGCCGACCTTCGGCCGCGACCGCGCGTCCACGATCGGCCGGTCGGACCCGTCGAAGATGCGGCCGCGCATGAACAGCTCGTCCTTCGACGACCTCACGAAGCTCGGCGTCGCGCTCACGACCGACGACGTGCCGTCGCCGTCGGAGGCGGCCAAGGCCGACGTCGCGCCGACGCTCGAGAACGCCGCGAAGCTCGACCTCTCGGTCGCCGACGCGTTCGTCGACGCCGTCCGCCACGCGCCGACGCACCGCGGCATCCCCTACCTCGCGACGATCTGCTCCAGCCGGCCCACGGCGCTCCTCAAGCCCCGGCCCAAGGTCTCCGACATCTTCGCGCCGCCGCCCGAGGCCTCGCCCCAGCCCTGAGCCGCCGCCGCCGCCCCGTCGCCTCCTCGCCTCTCTCTCTTGCTTCGATAGTGCCCTCGCAGTGTTGCCCGGCGCGCGCCATTCACCTGCGAGGGAGTCGTCGCGGTCGCGAAGTGTCGCGAAGTCGGTCGCGGCCGGTCGCGCCGCGGGTTCAACAAGCCGAAGGTGTCGCAGAATATCTCGCAGACGACACATCACGGCTGCTGCGAGCCACATCGACTGGCGCCTCAAGGCGAGAATACACGCTGCCTGCGCTCAGCTGCCGCAGACATCCGCGCGAGCGCTCAGCCGCCGCAGACATCCGCGCGATGATGAGTTCCGCTGCGCCGCGCGCCATGTCCAGCGACGACCGGAAAACGAGAAAAGACTGGTCGTCGGCGGCGCTGCTGCTCGCGCCGTCGGTCATCATGCACGTCATGGTCGTCGTGCTCCACACGGCCGTGCCGGCGAACCTCGTCTTCCACGCCTTCATGGTGGGCGCGATCCTCGCCCACGGCTGGAGCCTGCGCCTGGGCGCCAACGCCCTGCGCCACCGCGAGGGCTCGCTCGCGCGGCCGCCGGACGACGGCGACGCGAGGACGAGGAACGTCATGGCCGCGCGCGCGTTCTGGCTCATGCTCGCCATCGGCCTGGGCCAGCGTCCTGTGGCCGTCACGATTTTCGAGAGATTTGGGGTGGGAAAACAATGAGAATTCGTTACCGTCATGCTTGGTAGGCCTGGGCGTCTACGCGGCCTGCCGCGCGGTGTCGAAGCCCGGCGAGTACATCGGCGTCGACAAGGCCGCGCTCCGGGCGACGCTCGACCGCTTCGGCGTGTCGCGCGTCGGCCCCATGCTCGCGTTCACGGCCTACTTCTCGGTCGTCAACGCGCACGTCGAGGAGATCTTCTGGCGCCAGCTCCTGCGCTGGCGGCTGCGGTTGAGGGCGGGCGCGCGGACGCCGCGGGAGACGGCGAACGCCGCGACGCACGCGGACGCGCTCAGCGCCGTCGCCTACAGCGCGTACCACAGCGTGATCATCCACATGCTCATGCCGCCGTGGTTCAACCTGGGCATCGCATTTCCATTTTTGGCCTTCATGGGATCCCTGCTGAACCGCGTCGCGGACCACCCGCGGCTGGGAGTCAAAGTCTGCGCCGCGCTCCACACGGGGCTCGACGCGGCGACGGCGTTCTGGATCCTCGACATCCGCTTCGGCTGGCTCGATTTCCTGTTCCCCTAATTAGTTTTCCTGGATGTCGGCGCCGTCGAACGTAGCCCGCCGGCGGGATGTGGTAGGACGTAAGGGACTCCGGAGGCTCGGCGCGATGCACGCCGTGGCTAAGCCCGGTCACGATCCCTCGTCGCCGTTCCGAGGACTGAACGCGGCGCGCGCGGCGCGAGCCACGCCCCGCAGAGGTCTGCCGCAGAGGTCCTTGCCGTGCTTCCGCGACGTCGCGAGGGACATGGAGATGAGCGACAGGCCGAGGAGCGGGACGATCGACCAGGTCGAGAACTCGTAGTTGTAGCCCCATGTGTCGGAGTGCGCCATATAGCCCTCTCTCATCCGGAACGTCGTGTCGCGGCAGCGGCCGTCGTGTTCGACGCGAGGGTTCGGCATTGTCATGATCATGTAGTGCTTGACCGCGTTGATCGTGTCTAGGCAACCGACTACTGAAATGAGGAGCGCTAAGATGATGGGCAAGCGCATGCAGTTCCAGTAGGCCTTCCATTCTTTCCCGTACCAGTCGTCGCCGGCCGTCACGAAGCAGACGTAGACGACGAGCGTCGAGAAGAGCGCCGCCGCGTTCGCCGAGTAGGCGTTCGCGCAGTGGAAGTTGAAGCGCTTGATGAGGTCCGCGCCGTCGAATCCGCAGTCGTCGTACGGCGGCTTGTCGAACCGATCGACGATTTGCTCGTAGGCCTCGACGTCGAGCGACAGGGGCGGCCCCACGGCGATGGAGAGCATGAGGCCGCCGACGATGCCGAGCACGTCGAGGAGGTCCTTCACCGTCTCGCGCGACGGCGCGCCCCCGGCGACGAGCGCGGTGAGCACGTTCACGAGCGGCAGCTCCGACACGCGGCTCGCCTTGCGCTTCTCGACGCGGAGGAGCCCCGAGTTCCTCTTCGAGACCTCGAGCTCCTGCTCCTTCAGCGCCTTGACGCGCTCCAGGTGTTTCAGCGCCTTGACGCGCTCCGAGGGGTCGAGCACGCCCGACTCCTTCAGGAGCGCGTTGCACACCACGCTGTCCAGGCCCACCAGCGACTCGACGAAGGCGTCGCGCTTTTCTTTTTCGGCACGAGTCTCTGTCGTTGGTGCATCGGGGGGCTCTGCGAATAAATCGATGCAACCGGCCGACACGCTCATCTCCTCGATGATCTTGACCGTACACTCACGGGACGTCCGGACGCCGTCGTCGAAACTCCACAGTGGACGTACGTGCGGCGAGCGACACATGAGAGCGATTCACCTCGGACCCCTCGTCGTCACTCTCCTGTCCCGTGCCCGCACCCTGAGCCTACCCAGGCGCCCCCGAGCGGCGGCTAAAACGGCATCCAAAGACGACATGGACGCCTACGTCAGGGCCGCGGCCGGGTCCGCGTCGCGCCGCGGGTCGAGCGGGTCGGACCGCTGCTCCTGGATGGAGCAGTTCGGCGCCATCGACGTCGGGAACCGCGCCAAAAACAACAAAGGCACGCTACGATCGCGCCGAACTGTCCATCCCGTCGCCGCCGTCGAAGGAGCCGCGGTCAAAGCTCTTCCGGTCCTTGCGGAGCCGGCTCTGGTGCTCGTGGATCTGGTCGATGGACGCGGACCGCGACAGGCCGACGCGCTCCTCGATTTTGGCCTCGAGGCGCTGGATGCGCAACAGGCTCGACTCGATGTTCGACACGACGACGGCCTCGAGGTCCTCGTCCTCCTCGTTGACGAAGACCGCGTGCGGGTCGCCCGCCGTCGACGCCGCGGACGACGCGTCGTCGTCCGTCGGCAGCGTGCCGCCGCTCCGGTTGCTGCCGCCCTCCAGCGTGGCGTCGTCGTCCTTCTTGCCGTCCGGGCCCAGCAGCCGGTCGCGCATGCGGGGGTCCGCGACCGCGGCGCCGCAGAGCACGAGCGGCGGGAACACGGACAGTAAAGCCCCCATCTTCGCCTGGGCCTCGAGCGTGGGCTTGGCCGTGAAGGCCTCGCCCGCGATGAAGAGGCTCACCGTGAGCCCGACGGACGAGATGACGCCCGCGACGACGAGGTGCCGGTGCGACATGCCGTCGGGCCGCGGGAAGCCCAGGACCGTCGCCAGGTTCGAGCCCAGGGTCATGCCCAGGGCCTTGCCCAAGAGCAAGCTCAGGCAGATGACGACCGTGAAGCCGCCGACCGCGTCGACGCGCACGCCCGCGTTCACGACGCCGAACGCGAACAGGACCCCGAAATCCACGAAGCCCTTGACGCTCTCCTCGAAGTCGTGGAGCGGCGACCGGTGCACGGGCACGTGCGCCTCGGGCTCGGCGCCCGCCTCCATGGCGCTGTCGTGCGCCTTGAGGTTCGCGTCCGAGAGCGCGCCGCGCGGCGACTCCGACAGGACCGCGTCGAGCTCGTCGCGCTCCTCCTCGTGGCCGACGCTGAGGGGCATGAAGGGCACGACGAAGACGAGGGCCAGCGACGGGTGCACCGACGCCCACAGCAGCCCGATCCACGCGGGCGGCCCCGCGAGCGCGACGTACGCCTCCCAGCGCGCGCACCGCGCGCGCCGGAGGCCGTAGGCGAGCGCCATGGCCAGCAGGACGAGCCCGAGCCACGCAGGCTGGACCGGCGCGTCGGGGTCCGGGTAGGCGACGGCGATGATGACCAGGCCCAGCCCGTCGTCGATGACCGCGCAGAGCAGGAGGTAGTTGATCGCGACGTGGCCCGCGCCGAAGACGCAGATCGCCGCGACCCAGGCCACGGAGATGTCCGTCGCCGTCGGGATGCCCCAGCCCCGGGCGTACTGCGCGTAGTCGTAGCCCGTCAGCAGGCCCGACGCCGTCCCCGCGTAGAGCACGGCGAAGTACGCCGCGATGGGGCCGAGGACGCCGCCGAGCGTGCCGCAGAGCGGGTTCACGGCCTTGCGCCCCGGCGGGTAGAGGGACCCGCCGGGCTGGAAGGCCTCGGCGATCTCCTTGACGGCCAGGCCGAAGAAGAGCGCCATGAGGACGTCGTTGACGAGGAAGTGGAGCGTGACGTCGTGGCCGTGGACCCGGAGCCCGAAGACCGTCGGGTGGCCGCCGTGGGACGACCCGTGGTCGTCGCCGTGGTCGTCCACCAGCCCGTCGTCGCCGTCGTCGTCGTCGCCGCCGTGGCTCGCGCCGGCCCAGCGCCGGTAGCCGCCCGCGCGCGCGTTCGCGAGGACCAATGCCAGAATAATCCCCGCGACGAGCGGCAGCGCGTACTTCTGGGCGAACTCGAAGAAGGTCGTCAGGCTGACGCCCTTGGCGAAGACGTCGCGCTGCTTCGCGAGCAGCTTCTGGTTCTGCGTCGGGTACTGGACGCGGAGGAAGACGGACCCGACCGCGCGGCCCGTGACGAGGTCGTTCTCCGCGTCGAGGGCCTCGAGGCGCTTGCGCTCCTCCTCCTCCTTGAGCTGGGCGAGCTGCTTCATGATGCGCTTCGCGCGCCGGTCCACGGCCTTGGACGTCGGCCGCGACGTCTGGGGCAGGACCCGGAGCGCGGAGAGGCGCCGGTCGATGGCCGCGAGCACCTGGCTCGGCGCCGTCGCCTCGTAGGCGACGCGCACGACGGAGTCGTCCTGCATCATCGCCGCCGCCGCCGCGCCCATCTCGACGTGGCGGTCGTGGAGGAGCTTCGCCGCGGAGCTGCCGCGCGCGGACTCCATCTCGCGGCGGCCGAGCACGAGGACGATGAACCGCGCGTGGAGCTGCTGGTGGGGCTTCGCCGGCGCCCGCTCCTTGCTGCGAGCGGCCAAGCCGCCCTTGGACGGCGAGCTCTGGGGCGTGCCGCCGGCGGACTCGTCGTCGTCGAGCTCGTCGACGTCGACGTGCTCCTCGAGGCCCGTGTCGACGGGTTCGCTCAGGCGCACGAAGGCGACGATGTCCTCGCGGAGCCAGGCGAAGTCGTCGTCGATGAGCACGTGCACCGCCTCCTCTTCGGCGTCGGGCTTGAGCGTGTCCTCGCGCGCCTTCGTGCGCCGCTTCTTCTCGAGGTCGCCCACGGCCGCGCACCGCGGCGGGCCGGGCGCGCTCCGGCTCCGGCCCAGCGCGGGCGGCTCGGGGGGCCGCGGCGACGCCGGCTCGTCGTTGCCGCCCCGGCCCTTCTTGACGAGGTCCAACAGCGACCCCACGGACGGCGGCCGCTTCACGTCGAGGAGCTTCGGCAGCGACGGCCGCCGCCACGACGCCGCGGGCTTCGCGTCGTCGTCGTCGCCGTCCTCGTCGACCTCGCCGAGCGTCTCCAGGGGCCCCGCGCGCGGCAGCTTCGACACCTCGCTTTCTAGGGTTTGCCGCCGCTTCCGCTGCTCGCGCTCCCGCTTGAAGGCCTTGAGCTCGTCGTCGTGCTCGACGCACTTCCGGCTGTTCAGGTGGCCCAGCAAAGCGAGGAGCGCCGCGTCGCGGTCCGCGGCCTCGACGGCGCCGTCGCTCACGAGGTGGTCGACGATGGCCAGCGCCACGGGCTCGAGCTGGGACGCGCCCGTGGCCGACTGGCTCGCGACGTCGAGGATCACGAGGTCCTCGTGGAGGCAGTCGCGGAACGCGAGCATGCCGAAGACGGAGATGGACGGCAGGTGCGCCTTCGTCCAGTGGCGCTTCGGGCCGTCCGTCGCCAGGTCCTCCTCGAGGCCGTAGTTGTAGCGCTTCGTCTCGTGCCACTCGTTGTTCTTGAGCTCGTGCAGCTCGACGAAGAGGTGGCGCTTGCTGAACATGGTCAGGTTCCGCTCGCGCTGCTCCTCCTCGAGCTCCTCGGCCGTCGACTCGACGTCGCTGTCCGCGTCGCCCTGGCACCGCGCCGACGACGTCATGGCCCCCACCGAACGTGAAATGTAAGTAGAAGGGCAGGTGGGCTCTAATTCTCGTCGCGGGGCAGCGTCGATGTGGCTCGTCAACTCCGCGATGTTTGCCCGGCCGCTCTCGTCTCAGAGTGAACATGTTGAACTAAGTTACTTGACCAAAGCTCGTCATCCGCACAAGCAGGCCAGAGCGCTTGAGGAGCGCACGCGACGTCGGTGCAGCCCTAGCGCCAACAAGGCAGCACCGATGATTCATCCACGCCTGCTGCTGGCCCTCCTCGCCGCGGCGCACGCCCTGATCGCGCCGCCGCGGCCGCTCGCGCCCGCGCGTTTGCCGCACCTCCGGCGGGGCCGCGGCGCCTGCGCCGTCGCGGCGGCGGCGGCGGCGGCCCCGGGCCCCGCGGCGCGCGGCGTGGGCGGCTGGTTCCGGCGGCGCTTCCGGCGACCCCCGCGCGCCGCCGGCGCGCCGCGGCGCCGGGCGAAGCGCGCGGTCCGCGCGGCGGTCGTCGGCTTCCTCGCGCTCGCGGCGGCGAGTCGCGGCGCGGCCGCGGCGTCGCCCGGCGCGGCCCTCGAGGGGTCGCGGGCGGCCATGGCCGCGGGCCTCGGCGAGTCCTGGCGCGAGCTCGCGGCCGTGGGCGCGCGCCGCGACTCGCTCGTGCTGCTTCTAGCCACCGCGACGGTCATCCCGCTCGCGAAGCGCGTGGGCCTGTCGCCCATCCTCGGGTTCCTCGCGACGGGCGTCTTCCTGGGCCCCAACGGCGGCGATATCATCTCGAACCTGCACCAGGCGGAGATCCTCGCGGAGCTCGGCGTCGTCTTCTTCCTCTTCGAGATGGGTTTGGAGCTGTCCGTCGCGAAGATCGGCGCGATGCGCACGGAGATCTTCGGGCTGGGCTTCGCCCAGTTCGTCGTGACGGCCCTGGTGCTGGGCCGCGCCGCCGTCGCCGTCGGCGCGGCCGCGGGGAGCACCGTGTCCTTCGCCGCGGCGACGGCCATCGGCGGCGCGCTGAGCCTGAGCTCGTCGGCGTTCGTGCTCCAGTTGCTGCGGGACCAGGACGAGCTCGGCACGTCCCACGGCCGCGCGTCGTTGGGCGTGCTCCTCTTACAGGACCTGGCCGTCGTGCCGCTGCTGGTGCTGCTGCCGTTGTTGGCGTCGGGCAACGGCGGCGCGGCTTTAGCGGCCGCGCTCGGCGTGTCCGCGCTCAAGGCCGTCTTCGCCATCCTGAGCGTCGAGGTCGTCGGGAAGAACGTGCTCAACACCATGTTCGCGCGGGCGACGAAGAGCCGGTCCCAGGAGGCGTTCCTGAGCGTCGTGCTATTGAGCGTGCTCGGCATCTCGGCGTTCACGGAGGCCGTGGGCCTCTCGGCGACGCTCGGCGCGTTCGTCGCGGGGGTGTGTCTGTCCGAGACGCGCTACGTGAGCCAGGTCGAGGCGTCGGTGGCGCCCCTGCGGGGGCTGCTCCTGGGCCTCTTCTTCGTGACCGTGGGCTTCTCCATCGACGTGAATCTCCTCCTCGCGAAGCCCGCGGCGATCCTCGGCCTCTCGGGCGGCCTGCTCGCGCTCAAGGCGGGGACGCTCTTCGCGCTGGGCCGCCTCTTCCGCCTGCCGGGGCCGACGGCTCTGCGGACGGGCGCGCTGCTCGCCCAGGGCGGCGAGTTCGGCTTCGTGGCGTTCGCGCTGGCGACGAAGCTCGAGCTCATCTCGGAGCCCGCGAGCCGCGTGCTGCTGACGGTGATCGCCCTATCCATGGCCGCGACGCCCCTGCTCGCGGGCGTCGGCGGCGCGGCCGCGACGGCCTGGGCGCGGAAGCGGCGCGAGTCCGCGGCCGTCGAGTGCGCGGACGAGGCGCTGGACTACCGGCGCTTCGGCACGCTGATCAAGAAGTCGGGCGGCGACGGCGCGGACGCGGACGCGGACGCGCCCCTGTCGCCCCAGGCGCTCCGCGAGGACCTCGCGGCGAAGGTGCGCATGAAGGACGTCGTCGTCGTCCTCGGCTACGGCGCGATCGGCCGCGTCGTCACGGAGATGCTCGACGCGAAGCTCTGCAAGTACGTCGTCATCGAGAGCGACAAGGACAAGGCGGAGAAGGCCGCGGCGGCGGGGCGGCCCGTCTTCCGGGGCGACGCGACGGACGGCGCGGTGCTCGAGAAGTACCTCGCGGGCGACGCGCGCCTCGTCGTCGTCGCCGTCAACGAGGAGCAGGCGGCGACGGACTGCGTCACGGCGCTCAAGAAGCTCAACGCCCAGCTGCCCATCCTCGCGCGCGCGGCCGACGAGACGCACCGGCGGCGCCTCGCGCGGCTCCGCAACGTCCAGGCCGTCGTGCCGGCGATCAAGTCCGACTCGCGGCTGCTGTCGCTGCCGTTCGGGGGCGCCGTGCTCCGGGGCCTCGGCTACCGCGCCGACGACGTCGACATGCTCATCGAGGAGAACCGGCGCGCCGAGTACGGCCTCTTCGACACGACGAAGGAGAAGAAGCGGCCCGCCAAGGAGGAGAAGCGGCCCGTGCTCCTCCGCGACGACGACGACGACGACGACGACGACAAGACGCTCATGGAGGAGGTCGGCGTGTCCGTCGTGCCCGACGTCGTCGAGGAGCGGGGCGCGAACGCGACGCGCGCCGACGACGTCGTCGGCAACGCGACGGCCGTCTCCTACGCGTCCGGGCTCGCGGAGCTGGCGCCCGCCGCCGTCGAGGACGTCGCGCCGCCGCCGGCGGACGACGCCGAGGCGCCCGGCGCCGGCGCCGAGAAGCCCGGCGCGTCGCTCGAGGTCCAGCAGGAGGTGCTCAAGGCCATCGCGGACGCGCAGCGGAACGCGACCCGGGCCATCGAGCTCGCCGCGGCGAACGCGACGGCCAACGAGACGGCGCCCCCGAACCGCGTCGGCGCCGTCCTCCAGGCCCTCGCGGACGACTACACCGCGGCCGAGGAGGCGGCCGAGGCCGCGGCGCTCGCGGAGGCCGCGGCGCCCGCGGAGGCCGCGCCCGAGACGAACGAGACGAAGGTCGCCGCGTAAACCGACGCTCGATGTTAGTCGTCCGGGAGGGGCTCGGCGTCCGGCAGGGGCACGCCGCACTGCCAGCAGAAGTTCGCGTCCTTGCGGTGCGCCTTCTCCGAGCAGTTCGAGCACGCGCGCGTGAGCCGGTCGAGGCGGATGCCCCGGGGCTTCGCGACGGCCTTGGCCTCGCGGGCGCGCTGCGTCTTGAGGACCGTGTCCGCGAGGGACGTGAGCTGCACGGGGACGATGGCGATGCCGAAGAGCGTCGACGCGGAGACGACGGCGCGGCCCGCGGGCGTCACGGGCACGATGTCCCCGAAGCCCACGGTCGTCAGCGTCGTGAGCCCAAAGTAGAGGCACGTGAAGTAGTCGGGCAGCTGGTCGTTGACGCCCGTCTCCGCCGCGTAGATGAGCCCGGACGAGACGAAGAGCAGCGTGAGGAGCGTGGAGAGCACGCGCGCGAGCTGGAGCAGCACCGCGTCCTGCATGCGGTCGCCCGACGACAGCGACCGCTCGACGCCGAGCGCCGCGCGGAACTTGGAGAAGGACTCGACGTCCTTGAGCAGCCGCTGGAGCCGCAGGAAGCGCAGGAGCCGCAGCACGTAGAGCGCCGTCGGCACGCTCAAATCCGTGAGCGCGGAGACGAACGTCGGCAGCAGCGACACGGCGTCGACGATGGAGAGGAACTCGACGACGAACCGGGGGTCGAGGCCCCGCGCGATCCAGCGGAGGGCGTACTCCGCGGCGAAGAAGACGCTGAGGCCGTTCTCCGACGACACGAGGAGGCGCTCGACGTCGTCGGGCAGGTCCAGGGTGCTCACGGCGAAGAGGAAGCACGCCGTGAGCGTCACGAGCGACGAAAACACCTCGTAGCGCGGGTCCGCGAGCCACTCGGCCGCGGCTCGCGGGTCGACGCCCAGGACGAGCGGCGCGTCGCCTTGCTCGTCGCCGGCGTCCGGCGTGGCCCGCGGCGGTTGGAGCTGTCGCGCGCGCGGCGGTCGCCGGAGCTGCTGCGCGGCGCGTCGCCGGTAGCTCGTCGGCGTCGCGCCCAGCGCGCGTCGCGACGGTTGCACGAAGGCGCCCGCACTCGCGCAGAGCTGCAGGAGCAGCGCTGCGTTCATCAGGGGTGTTTGCATCGCGTCGACAGTCGACGAGTTCAACGACAGCATCTCTACGTTGAAGTGCTGGTTGCTGTCGCATTACCGTGCAAGCAGCCCCGCGGTTGGCTATGTCCGTCAGAGTCTTCTTCTGCGCGGCCTAGCGTTGGACTTGCGCGTCTGTGCGGACTAGCGCCAACGTCGCGATGAGCGCGACGACGTCCCCGGAGCGCGAGTCCTTCGACGACCGCGCCCTGGAGTGCCCCGTCTGCGTGAGCTTCCTCGTCGAGCCGCTGACTTTGGACTGCGGCCACAGCTTCTGCCGGGCGTGTCTGCTCCAGAGCACGCGCCTCGCGCCCGACGGAAGATGCTGTCCGGTCTGCAGAGCGCCGGTGTCCATCCGGGACCCGGCGACGCACGCGTGCGACGCGCGGCTCGGCGACCGCGTGCGGGCCGCCGTCGCCGCGGACTTGTACGCCGCGCGCGTCGCCGCGGACGCCGCGACGATCGCGGAGGTGCTCGAGTCGACGGCGCGCGTGCTGCCCATCTTCGCGTGCAGCCCCGGCACGGCCGTCGGCCGGCCCGTGGCGCTCCACTTCTACGAGCCGCGCTACAAGACGCTCGTCCGCCGCGCGTGGGAGGGGAACCGGCTCTTCGCGTTCACGGACCGACCGCCGCGGCCGGGCGTCGACGCCGTCGTCGTCCACATCGAGCAGGCGCGGTTCCTCCGCGACGGGCGGGCGAACGTCGTCGGCGTCGGCGTCGCGGCCATCGTTTTGCGAGACGTCTGGGTCGAGGACAACACGGGCGGCCTCAGCGTGACGTCCATGCCGCGGAACCCGGCCTGGCTGCCCGCGCCGCCGGCGCGCCGGACGAGCGCCGGCGCCGACGACCAGCGGTGCGCCGCGCAGCGATGCGCGTGCGCGCTCATGTAGTCACAGCGTGTAAATTAGAAGAGGTCGAGGATGGACTGGACGTCCGAGGTCGCGGGCGCCGCCGCCGCGGCGCCGCCGGCGTCGGGCGCCGCGGCCGCGGGCGCCGCGAAGTCGCCGAAGGGGTCGCCGGGCAGCGGCGACGGCGGCGCGGCCGCCGCGGCGTCGGGCGCCGGCGGCGGCGGCGTCTCCAGGGAGCCGAAGAGGTCCCAGGACGCCGCGTCGACGGCGCCGGTCCGCGGCGGCGCCGGTGGCGTCTCGAGGGCCTCGCCGAAGAGCTGGGACCCAAAGTCCGCGTCGCTCGCGCCCCGCGGCGGCATGCTCGCCGGCGCCGCGGGCGTCGCCGCGGCCGCGGCGGGCGCCGCGGCGCGCCACGCGGCGTCGTCGCCGCCGTCGACGGGCCGCGGCGACGCGAGCGTCTCCGCGAGGCACGCGGCGATGGACGGCGACGCGCCGGCGCCGTCGCCGCCGTCGCCGGCGACGGCGACCCAGAGCGCGTCGTCGAGGGCCGCGAGCTCCGCGTCGAGGTCCGGCGGCGCCGCCGGCGCCGCGCGGCCCCCGGCGTAGGCCGCCGCGAAGAGCGCGCGCAGGCCGGCGAGGCCGTCGCCGCCAGGCGCGGGCGGGCCCGCCGCCGCGGCCGCGGCCGCCGGCTCGGCCGCGGGCGCCGGCGGCGCGTCGTTAAAGTCGCCAAAGTCGCCGAAGCCGTCGTCGTCGTCGTCGGCGGCCGGCTCGGCCGCGGCCGCCGGCTCGGCCGCGGGCGCCGGCTCGACCGCGGGCGGCGGCGCGGCGTCGTTAAAGTCGCCAAAGTCGCCGAAGCCGTCGTCGTCGTCCTCGGCGGCCGGCTCGGCCGCAGGCGCCGGCTCGGCCGCGGCCGCCGGCGCCGCGTCGTTAAAGTCGCCAAAGTCGCCGAAGCCGTCGTCATCGTCCTCGGCGGCCGGCTCGACCGCGGCCGCCGGCTCGACCGCGGACGCCGGCTCGACCGCGGCCGCCGGCTCGGCCGCGGCCGCCGGCGCCGCGTCGTTAAAGTCGCCAAAGTCGCCGAAGCCGTCGTCATCGTCCTCGGCGGCCGGCTCGACCGCGGCCGCCGGCTCGACCGCGGACGCCGGCTCGACCGCGGCCGCCGGCTCGGCCGCGGCCGCCGGCGCCGCGTCGTTAAAGTCGCCAAAGTCGCCGAAGCCGTCGTCATCGTCCTCGGCGGTCGGCTCGCCCGCGGGCGCCGCCTCGGCGGGCGCCGCCGGCGCGTCGTCGAAGTCGTTGAAGCCGCCGAAGCCGTCGTCGTCGTCCGCGGCCGCGGCCGCGGGCTCGCCCGCGGGCGCCGCCTCGGCCGCGGGCGCCGCCGAGCCGTCGAAGTCGTTGAAGCCGGCGAAGCCGTCGTCGTCGTCCGCGGGCGCCGCGGGCGCCGCGGGCACCTCCTCGAACGACGACCCGAAGTCGTCGCGCGCGGACCCCGGCTCGTTGACCTCCTCGTAGGAGCTGAAGGTCTCGCCGCTCGAGGACGGCGCCTCGGCGACCGGGGCCGCGGGCGCGTCGTCGCCGCCGGGCTCGCCCGCGCGCTCGAGGACCGCGCGCCGGATCTCGTCGTCGCGCGCGTCGTCGACCTTGGGGGGCGGCGTCGACGGGCGCAGGACCCGGTCGCGGATCGCCCCGTCGAGCGCGTCGGGCGCCTTCGGCGGCGGCGTCGAGGCCCGGAAGTCGCCGCCCGCCGGCGCGTCGTCGACGGCGCCGAAGCCGTCGCCGCCGTCCGCAGCCGCGGGCTCCGCCGCCGCCGCGGCGACGTCGTCGAAGGACGCGCCGAAGCCGTCGTCGTCCGCGGCGGCGGGCCCGGCTGGCGCGTCGTCGAACGCGCTGAAGCCGTCGGCGCCGTCCGCGGCCGCGGGTTCTACCGCCGTCGCGGGAACGTCGTCGAGGCCGAAGCCGCCGTCGGCGGCCGACGCCGTCGCGGGCTCCGGCGCCGCGGCCGGCACGTCGTCGAAGGCGCTCGACCCGTCGTCGGCATCGGCGACCGCGGGCTCCGCCGGCGTCGCGGCCACGTCGTCGAACGCGCCGAAGGCGTCGTCGACGTGGGCCGCGGCGGGCTCCGCCGGCGCGACCGGGACGTCGTCGAACGCGCTCAACCCGTCGTCGGCGACGGGGGGCAATGCTGGCGCCGCGGGAACGTCGTCGGGAGCTCCGAAGCCGTCGTCCGTGGCCGAAGCGGCCGCGGGCTCCGCGGGCGGCGCGGGAGCGTCGTCGAACGCGCTAAATCCGTCGTCGACAGGCGGGACCGCCGCGGGCTCCGCCGGAACAGCTGGGACGTCGT